GACATCTGCGGCTTCCTCCATTTGCTTGGCGAAGTTGATCTGAGCCTTCAATTGATCGTCGATCGCATCGCTGATACTGCCTGCCAGTAGAGGCAGTGTCTGTGAGATGTACCTGATGTGTTGGTGTTGGCAATATCAAAATTCCGAGGAAATTTTGGGAAATTCTCGTTGATTCCTGTACATTTCTCCTCGGACTCGTACGCGAAATCCTATGGTTAGGGAGGAAACCAAATATATATTCTAAAACTAATCTGAGAACCTCCCATTACCGCAATTTTCAATCATTACTCTCGAAAATGACGCTCGAATTGGGAAATTATCGATCGAATATGTAAGGGCCGGACGGATCGATATTCTCGGTCCGGCGGAAGTTTCGAAACACGACAAATGAGATCTACAGAGTGTTAGGTTATTCTCCTATTGTCACGCCCACCGACACATATTCCCTTGATAAAAAACATACCGATGCTTATCAGAGTATATTTGTTGTATTCCGAATCGACCCAGTCACTCACACGCAAGAGCCGGCAACCGCGTAAATCTGTTCATCACTTGCCGATGCTCTCACCCTCGAGGATAGAACCTATAGTTGGACACAACCAGTCACATGCCATCAGAGAACACCTATTATAGCAACCGTCTCGAAGCTCTGATATCCACAAATCTCTACATCAAATATCGACTAGTGAAAGAGTTTTAATGCGAATATAGAACAAGACAACCGAGTAAGTTCTGGCGCAACATAATGAGGAAAGTCAACGAAAACAAGGCGAGTTTTCCTACCTTATCAGTGTATCGATCTAGAGCCACTCGGAAGCTCTTCACACAGAGCAAGAACATCGTGTTGCTAGTAGAGACGCTTTTGCAGTTTTTGAACAGTTTCTTCATCTTAGTGAACAACTCGACCACCGACGTGTATACGAACACCGGCTCAGTCTGAGCGCCGTCGGACGCGAGGGTCGACGATGTCGGCACCGAACCTGGCGGCGAGCCGTGATCGAGGGGAGAGCGAGGGGAGATGCACAAACGGAACTCTCTCCTAGTCGGCTAAGTTGGCTGATATTATCCCGACCCACTCAACTGGGATAGCGAGCTCAT